AACATCTGCCTCGATGTGTACTGATGAATACATTGAGTCAAGTAAACCGTTTACTTAAGCATTAAATTAGAATAAAAGTACTGGATGCGGAAGGGGGCATCTTCCCCCTCCAGCGGCGCCCGTGCGCTATTTTCCAACCCAGGGGGACGGCAACCCGCAGGCCGCGATCCATCTCATGTGGCCCGAAGGGCCTCTACTATATTAGTCTACGGAAAAATAAACAATCATGGCTTTTGTTTGCGTTTTACATACCCTACAATTTTTTTTTAACAGTCGTATTCGCGAGTAGGCAATTCTAATGCGGTTTCCCTTATTCAGTGCTATCTGTAAGTATGCAATAGCCTCTACTAGCCTAGCCTATATTATTGTACCTGGATCCCAAGCTCGTTTTGACCTACTACTTATAAAATTATTGAATTGTATATGATTTGATGTGTGAAATTTGTTGAATAAAAGTAAGTTGGAGATATGTGCGGCCCGCGAGCTATTGGGGGTTTGCCAATGCGACCTGCAGTTACAAAAAAAAAAATGCCGACCCTTGCTCCAACCTGCCATGCTGTGTCGGCTCCTTCATAAGAAGGAAAGCCCTCGTCTCCACGAAGGCGCCGGCTGTGTGCTTTGGCGTTGGCGCGTCTGCGCAACACTACCTAGGTATATCTAGATGGTGTTGGGCTGTGCGAGTCAGTCTAGTTAATTCTTCGTTTTCGACAATAAAACATCAAATTATAATAAAAATGAATGTATGAAAGGCTAATGTATGTTAGTTGACCACACGGGGAGGTTGCGTTTCCCCCGTCCAACCCCTATGAACATCAGAGCAAATGATGTCACTTCATTGCCTCTGACCGAGAGATCCTAAGTTCCAGACTCAACTGTGTTAAGATTTTCGACACTAGCTTAATAGATCGACTTTATACGTCTGGAGGAGAATTCTAGCTGCTCTGATCGATAGTTTTCCATGGTTTTTCCGACCACTACCAGGCGAATGCCGGAGCAGTACCCTAACAAACGGGCCATGAACCGCACGCGAACTTTCCTTCCGCTTCCTTGCTCTATCCCCCCTTACTTACACTCACATGCTCTCCCACACATGCCGGGAGACCAGACGGGACCTTCGAGCTTGTCCCCACTGGGCTGTAGCCTCTGGTGGGAGATACCTGGTTAGGGAAAATCCCGCTTGGTCGGGATCGGATCTCGCCATATAGTAGGGCAAGATCACAACCACCTCCCGAGGGGGGAACATACACTAGACTTACGGGCCTAATGACCCTAGCAGTAGCCGCGTCCGGAGTCACTCATCAATCGATATCCCGCAACGTGGCGTGCGCAGCCTGTGCGCGGGGATGTGCACCGACCTGGGCGTGCTGACGGTGCTTCTGTCGACGCCGTCGGGGCCCGTGCGGCGCGCGGCGCGCTCGCAGGTGCTGCTCCTGGCGGACGAGAGCGCAGACGTGCGGCGCCGCCTCATCAAGGGCGTGCCCTCGGCGCTGGACGCGCTGCGCCGCGCCGCCTACGCCCTCGTCAGTAGTCCGCCGCTCTTGCGTTTAATAGTCACTCTAAGAATGGACCAGTTAGACAGGTCGGGAAACAAATGAATGTCACGTGGAGCGATGACATTTGCGAGAAATGGTGATGAAAACCATTTACTAAAGAGCTAACTACAAGTGATGCGACATCGATAACACAATATTGATGTTAGCAAACATCGATGTTCAAAATTAAAACATCGATGTTAAAAATACATTGACTAAAAACCATCGATATTTTTCAACATCCATGTTTGTAGACTGGATTAGTAATCTCCAACACTAAATTCGTGTGCATTGAAATGTAATTTGACAGTGTTCGTGTTTATCAATTCCCGAATAAAAGATACGAGAAGAAGGGAAGAACCTACGCCCATAGCATATTTGTTAACCTAATCTCAATATGCGAAATGAATATAAAGAAAGAGGAAATACAAGGATACGCAGGTCATCTCAGGCAAGATAGTCTGACCGATGCCGGTAGTACAAACAGAGTTCCTTTGGTTCCAACACATGAATAACAGATAGTATCAGTTATCATTTCATATTTTTTTACAGTATTGTGATCGTAGGAATTTTTCATTCAGAAATAAAACATGGTAAAAGAAAAAAAAACATCGATCACAAAATATAGATGTTAAAAAAACATCGGTGTTAATTTATCAATGCTTAAACCATCGATTCTTTTACAAAAACATCGCACGAACGCATTGACAAATTGACTGCATGGACATAACCCGCAACAATGTCGTCAGCGCTAGCCAAGCGGTAGCTGTCAAAGCGGTCCCTTCTTATATAAATCTCTATAAACTTGGGGGGTTTTGATGAATAGGAGGTATCATGGCAGAACAATATCACCCATAGAATTTCCTTTTCAAACAAAAGATGGCATTAGCCACTTCCTCTCGTCTATGTTCCTGTAATTCACTTAGAATTCTTACTAACTTACACGTTTATAAAACAATGATTCGGCGAATAATTTCTTATGCCTATCCAATTTGGGAACCAGCTTCAAAAAGAAATACAAACTTCTTAGAATACCTGCCTCATAAATATTATTCAAGCCCCTTTGTTTATTTCAAACAATTAAATTCATTATGGGGTAGGTATACATCCAATTCAAAACTTTTTTCTGCATAATTAATAATATTCCATCTTCTGATCACTTTAAAGTAGGTAAATACAATCATCGAAATCGACTGAAAAAGGAAAATTACCGAACAATTATTTGACCCTCCATAATTCCTTCATTTCATAACTCATTTTACTACAGCTTTTTTGTTTTATTTATTTTCTTTTTGATAGGGCAATACAAAGATTAGTGTTACAAATATCACTCTACATTTGTAACAGTTGCTTTTATCTACTTATAATTTAATTACAATTATCTTACCAATAAACTTAAAATACAACTTACATTACTACTAAGGTAGAAGAAGTATCTTTATATAATATCTCTACTTTGGTTCGAGATCTGAGAGTTTATTTAAGAATGTGTAGAAAGGAAACTTATTCTTGATGAGAGTTCTGTGTATTGGATTTTGACAGAGTATTAGCGGTGTTAGGTTGGGTACATTTGGGATGTTCTGAAAGAAGTGCGTGGATACAAAAATTATGTTGTTGGTTATCGGTTCAAGGTGAAATTCTTTATGGAGTTAGGCGTTGGAGATGCACCATGGGACATTCATGATTGTGCGGAGGAACAGATTTTGGATTACTTGGAGGTTTTGGTTGCGCTGATCCAAACTGGGCATGCAATAGTTGTAGTCGTATGATAGTTTTATATAGCAATAAGGCTGTATTGTATGTAGTTTACCTGATCTATTTATTATTGGTTTTAGTTAGTGTGGTTTTATTTTTGATTGAATAACTTTATAGTCGATATGGCTTTTTCCAAATAGTCAGATGTCTAAGAAAAGACCTAGATATTTTATGATTTTATTATGAGGATGCCATTGTACAGGTTGTTGATTCATTTATAAGGGGGTGGGGGGAAGTGAGGTCTATTTTAGGAGGTAAATATTTTTGCTGCTGTTGTTTGCTATTTTTGTTGCTGTTGATTCATTTTAATTTTATTTTTGGCTGCCCAGCTGTCAATTTGGTGTAGGTATAATTGAAGATTGATTTTTATTGAGTTTATGGTGGGACCTGATGAATATATAGCCGTGTCATCTGCAAATTGGGCGGTTTTTATTTTACTATGTTTCGGTAGGTCGGCTACATACAACTTGTAAAGAGCGGGAGATAACGGGGAGCCTTTGGGAAGGCCTGCTTTGAACGCTTTTGGATTAGAGTGATGGTTATCAACTGTAACGGCAAAAGTTCTATTGTCGAGGAAATTGGAAATGATTTGTGTAAGATATTGTGGAATGCCTATTTCTTTTATTTTATAGTTTAGAGCTTGATGCCATGTTCTATCGAAGGCCTGAGAAATGTCGAGAAAGATTGCTTTTGTATGAGAGTGTTTTGAAATGCCGTATGGATGTTTTCAGTGATTCTGAGTAGTTGGTGACGTGTGCACATTTTTTCTGTGAATTCCATTTGTTCCATGGGTATGGAGTTTGTGTTGAGATGTGTTTTGAATATTTTTTCTAATAATTTAGATAGCGTGGGTAGTAGACTGTGTGATCCGTAACTGTTGGTCAGAGAGGCATTCTTGTTTGGTTTTTGTATTGGAAGAATTAATTTTCTACATTAATGCGTACATTTCGTCTTGACGCGCAAACTTCATTTGAAAGCTACTGACTTTTCACCTGTAGTAAGCATTTCGTTCATGTTCTGCTGCGAAGGATCTAAGAGGCCAAACGTAATTATTCAATAAAAAAATTGCATTTGCAATGTCCCTGGCTCATTACACGAGAGCGCTGGAAAGACGAGTAATCTCACCCGCTGTATTCGGGTCTCGCTTTGCGCGTGTTCTGTGGCGACGTGTGTTAAAACGCAATCTTATGAAAACGTTGTTAACAGTGGTAATTAAATATTGATTTTTTGGTACTACACCGGATCTCGTCATCCAGCTGGGGAAGATCACTACCAACTCCTCCTCACGCGATGAAACAGGTACTACACTTACGGGACTTAAGGATTGAGTTCCAGTCTGTTTGTGCAGATATCAGATAGCATCCCTATATATATATATATATATATATATATATATATATATATATATATATATATATATATATATATATTGGGATGCTATCTGATCGTAAATTGTCAATATCGTGTTAAAGAGGTTTTAAGGCAATTCCTCAAATAATAAATACAATTAACCACATAAATAAATATATAAAAAATAAATGCCTGCCGTGGCTGCGCAGGAGCCGCCCGCAGATAGCGTGCTGATGATGAAGCGGCGGCGGAGCTCGGCGTCCGACTCGACGGGCACCCGACGCGACAGCAGCGGCGGCGGCCGCAGGGACAGCATTGGCGGCCGCAGGGACAGCGTCGGCGGCGTCGGCGGCGCGATCGGCGGCGCGGGCGGCGGCTTCGTGCCTGTGGGCTGGGCGCCAGCCGAGTTCTTCGACGACGAGGACGACGAGGAGGTGGCGGCTGGCAACAAGGCCGCCGCCGACGCCATCGGCGACCTCTTCCCGCCGCTGCTGCTCCGCCACCTGTACCGCACCACGCCCGGCAGCAAGTACCAGCTCAGCTTCATCGAAAAGTACGTGCGGCAAGTCCGGACGAATGGGCCGATGATAAATGAGTCCCTATTGAGTTATCGGTTCACTTGTGTTTACTTACGAAACCTCAGGGTTTGACCCCTCTCGGACCCCCGTTTTGAACACGCAACCTGTTATTTGACGCGTCTTGGTTAGCTGTTTAGGAACTGACCACCTTTTGTTAAATTCTTTGAAACCCTTCTTAGTTTCATTCTTGAAATAGATAGGAATAAATGGAATCGTGGAGTAGGCGAAGCGTGGGTAGAAATTATTATAGAAATCCCTTTCGGACCACCGCACCGTTTGTAACACGCGGCAGGTTATTCGACGCGACTCGGTCAATTGTTCGGGAAATGGCCGCATTGTGGTATTCTTTAAAACCAATCATTGTTGATTCACGACAGTGAAGTAGAAAAGGGAAATGTAAGATATGTGAAGGTAATATGGCTTATATACTTCAACATTTGGCCAAATTCACAGAATCGTGATGACATTTAACAAATTTGCTTGAAGTAAAATAGATATATCACAAATAAAGTGATTCTAGAAAAGTTTGTTTTGGTTTTACAAAAACATTCTATTGAGAAGGTAATAAGCCCACATGCAGGTTTTATGATCATTGCCAGAATTCCTAGTTTCTTGTAGCATGACAATGGAATTAGGGCTAGTTATACCAATACATAATATGAATTACAGTATCTCAGTCTCTTACAGTCTAATTTAACAAAATGTCCTGATATGATTTCAGTAACGCAAGGATTGCTGAATTACTCTTAACAAAATCAGTATTTTCTACAAAGAGACTTCATTATACAAAGTTGAAAACGTCAGCATTGGCTTGAAAATATACAAAAAATGTTTAATCAGTTAAATATTGACGACAAATGAAAGTTTCTTTGTCTTTAATAGTTAATTCGTCCAGGTGACGCCGGGTGGCTGAGAGGTCGACGTTTCGCCTGTCATATCGCAGGCTTCTTCAGGGTAGTGACACGTCAAAATTTGAAGCCGTTTTAAGAAAATTGTATAAAATGGTTTTAAAAGCACCTAGGTTTCAATCAAAATTACGCAATTGATACTCATATTTTCTAAACTTTGAACATGACCTTACTTAAAGACCTGTTTTTAATGATCACATCTGATATCGGAAAGAATATCTATCTTTAATATTTTAGTTGTAAGAAGCCGCCGAAAAGATCTGAACTTTTCGATTTTCGAAAAATCAAGGACCTCTACGAAAATGAGACCTCTGCCATACACTAAACGTCTTTCACACTATCCAACAACAAAATTTAATCAAAAAAGTTTTAGCCATTTTTTTGAAAAATTTGAAATTGTTCCAGACGCTTTATGCAAATTACTTCCCAAAATTAAAATGTCGATTTCAAATTCAAGGGGCCATGACTCTAGCCAGAAGGATTGGGGAATATCAGTTTTGGAGAAAATCGGCTAAATGGTTTTGCCGCTAGTGTTGTTCACAGATAGGCCAGTTTTGTCTTCAAATATTTTTTCGATATCAATGACCCACAAAATATGGGTTGTGACCACACCACGACTTAGAAGAATATCCCCCCATATTTAGCAACGGTTTTTATTAATTTTTTTCGTTTCCAGGGGCCGGCAATAGTTTCTCTGCCGAAAATACCCAATTTCCCACTTAAGCATATTTTAGCTTAAGCTTAGTTTCTACTGCAAGTAACTACTGCGAGCAAGTAAAAAATGCGACTTTATACACCAACAAATACGATTTTTTAATTTAATGTAAGTTATTTTTTTATTGCAAGAATCAGAAGAACAAATCAACTACTCGTACAATAAAAATATTGACAGTGAACATAACCAGATGAATTTAATATTGGCACAAATCATGATAGTAGATATGCATACAGAAAACCACCGTTTGTAATAAACACATAAAACGTAGCATTCATATCACGTTTTTTCTTCCCCTTATATTATGTATTATACGGTTTCGTTGAAACTGTTGTTAGGGATTGTGCTAAATGCATACCATGAAATGACATAAATGGATTCCATGAAATGACATAAGCGGTAATTTGTTCACACTATTATATTTACGAGTACATGTGCTTTAAATAATGTCATATCGCTAAAGTTAAATGTTTTCTATCAAAACAACCTCAAAATTTCGCAATTTCTGAAACGCCCAAATGCCATGTTCTCTAACACAGCTCCAAATCTTTTCTTCAAACTTTTCGACAGGAGAGTGCTATTTTCCTCTTCGTGCTCTTAATATGACGTAAAGTTCATTTCGGTTTTTTTTTTTAATATTCGCAAATGTAATATTGTTGAAAGATCTCTCACGCCGGTAATACACACATATCCAGCAATTTGTAAACTCTATTGTATTTGTGAGTTAAAGTGATTCAAATTACTTCAAATTACATTTTTCGAAAACTCAAAAATTTTTTTTCTAACATCTGCTTTATTTGCAATTTGTTCTACTCGAACATTTGGCAAATACAATGGTACATACATTATTGACATGTAAAGAAACCATCCAATTCTGGTTCTAAAAATGGTTTTAAACTAATTGTCCAATTCAGAGACAAAAGCAAAACAAACAAGAACAACAATAAACAACATCACATTGAAATAACAATAACACAATAACAAACAAACATACAGTAGTGCAAGCATTGAACTCAAAAATTGTCTGTGAAAAAGAGATTCAAATTTCCAATTTACTGTAGTGCTTAAGAGCCATTTTAGAAAGTTTTACTGTTCTTTAACACACTTAAAATAATATTTCAGTCTTTCTATTAGGAAACCGTAAAATTTAGAATATTTAAAAAAATATGTTCTATGGGAGGTGACAGCTCGCAAAAGTATGTGGCAAGTTCGAATAGCCATCCAAGACCAAAGGAAATAGAAAACTAATACGGTAAAGTCAGTGCCATTTTGTAGCACCACCATTTACTTTCTCGTTACTTCTTACGCAGTACAGAGAAAGTCATGTAATGCAAGGGGAAAACGGCGATTTTTTGTGAGAATTGCGTAATTTTGCGTGAAACGAGTCAATATTTAATTTTTTAAAACATTTTTACTTCTCCGTATACGTACGTATATACGAAGTAATATTACGTAGAATAGTGAAAGTTAACTTGTGCTGCGGAAAATCGATTTCGATATTTCAACGGAAATACACTTTTGGGGTCTTCTGATACCGAAAATGTGTTTTTTTAAACGTCTGCCTGTCCATCTGCCTGTCCATCTGCCTGTCCGTCTGCCTGTCCGTCTGCCAAAACTACTAGTGCCTTAACCATACGCAGAATTTTTCCAAATTATTTAATTTGCGCCCAACCACTGTCCATATGGCTTGACTCGAAGATTTGTGATTTTGAAAAAAAATATTTAAAATTTGGGGTACTTAACAGGAAGAACTCCGGACATTTTCAAAAATTTCTCAAAACCTGCTCGATTTTTTTTTTCAAACTTCTTGAATTAATACACTTATATAGGTGGCATAGGTCCCATTTTCATTTTTGAATTTTTGAAAATTGAACAAATTGTTATTTTTTTCGGCGTCTTTCTACAAATATAAAAATAAAGATAGATATTTTTCAAATAAAATGTGTTCTCCATAGTGAGTTCGTTCATTAAGGTCATGCACCCTTTTTTGAAAATTTTAGTCGCTTTCGCGCAATATAACGAGTTTTTCAAGTTTTTTTTACTTTTGGTAGGGATAGTGCTAAATGCATTCTATAAGATGACATAAACACTATATTGTATTCTTTTGTTTTTCAAAATTTAGAAAATGTAGGTTTTTTGACTTGTCTCTCACGTCGTTAATATTTATATCAAGGGCAATTTGTTCACATTATTGTATTTATGAGTGTATGTGCTTTAAATAATGTCACATGAAGTTTCTCGAAAACTCAACTGTTGTCTGTGAAAACTAGTTCACAATTTCGCATTTTCAGAAAGGCTCAAATGCCATTTTCGCAAAAACAGCTACAAATGCATTCTTCAAACTTTTGGAACCTATAGTATGCACTCTTTAATATGATGTAAAGCTCATTTCGGGGTATATTTTTGTGTTTTCAACAAATTACACAAATTTGATTTTTTGGAAGTTCACTCACTCGCCGTTAATATGCACATTTCCAGCAATTTGTAAACACTATTGTATTTGTTGGTTAATGCACTTTAAATGACTTCAAAAGTAGTCTCTGCATATTTGAAAATTGAAAAGGAAAAATCAAAATGATAAATTCGAAATTCCCGCGCTTCTTTTGAGATAGTGTCAGCCTGTACATTCATATAAAAGTTGATAAGAATATAATTCTATGTATAGAAATATACGCAAGAAATACGATTTTTGGATAGTTGTACATTTTGAAGGTTCCTAGTACAAATGCATTCATAAGACGATATATTGGATACCCTTCAGTTCTGGATGTTTAATTTATACGTGATATTAACCTTGTTCTTTATATGATGTGCTGCAAATATTGTAACAGTTGTGACTTATTCTTGTTTGTTTGTAAGAAAGGGATACTCTTCCTGACTAGCGAAATAATACCAGATATCCACTGAAGGCACTTCTTTGCATTGGTTTGGACATTTTCCAGTGACAGCAGAAATTTCAATTAACTCCATTATAATATTACGTAACCGTTCTCAATAGTGCGAGAAAGAATGTGCTGATGTAACATCACTAGTTTCCAGCAGCATTATATAACTTTCTCTATACTGCTTAAGCAGTAGCAAGAAAGTAAAATGACACTACCAAATAAACGAGATATTAGCAGTGTAATTGGGTGAGGATTAGCAACGGCTTTTGCCAACACGAAATCGAGTATAAATACGTCTTTTCATCCGACAGTTACATTTTTCACACGTCACGATAGCTGGTATTTTTAGCCGGCCAGCACTACTATAGTGAATCCTGCTCTTTGTTTTTTTTACAGGTATATGCCTGATCAACTTCAGTTCTTCGTCCATGTACCACATGACAAACTATGAGCGGACAGAACAACGAGATAAAGTTAAATAAAATGAAATAGTAAGTTATTCAATGTAGTTAAATGTTTTGAACATTTAATCTTTTGTTTGAAATACATCGGGGTGATTGAATGATATGAACTGAATGATCAAGCCTATGAATGACCAAGCCTAATGCGTTTTGAATGTCATCAGTTCTATAAAACACAATTCATTAACGAAAATTGAAATTCTTGTTACTAGCAACTATAATAAAGTAACAAATTTCCTTAAGGATTACAATTACACCTACAGATGTTACAATGACATCAATTTACTCTTTGCGATGCAGTGTGTTTCCTACTCTAGTGACTAATTACTATGTCTGTTTCAGGCAATAACAGACATATACCGGAATCTTAATCGAAAATATTTAATTTAAGCGTATTTAATATATTATATTTTCAAAACTTTGATAAATAAATATTTTAAGAATATTCTTGCGTTTAAATTTATTTTTTTATAGTATTAAGGTAGTGTTGTTATACTTTCCAATACTTTGACATATGTGAATTGATAATTTAACTACTAATAATTAAATAAATATTCCATTCAATTCAATAAATACTAGGAAAATTCATGAAATTACAATGCATATGTTTTGTGTCTCTAAATAAATGTAAGAACACAGCGTCCGTTTGACTTTGCCGCCAATGACGAGACTGCCCTCTGTGGGTGCCAAGATGAACCTCCCGTCGCCATGGCAACATACCGCGTGTTTCACTTCAGTTCAATCAGTTTCTCGAGAGGGTAGGGATATAATTTTATACAAAAAGGGATATTATTTTATGATAAACTGTGACTTAGAAGAAACTTATTTTGATAGTTATTTTTGTTTATCGTTATAATCAGTTACAAGAATGGTAAAGTTAACCACGAGTTACTTATCCAGTAAATCGTCTGGTGTACTTGCAAAGAAAAATAAGGACCAAACCAACTATGATTTCTTGAGGAAGAAGACGCAACTCATGCTGCACGATCAAAAGATAGACGATATTGTGAGTAATAACATATGAAATTTCTTATAATACTAATTACATTGATTGATGATTTAACCTGTTACCTGATCTTCGTTATTTACAGGGTGATTTTTCCATCTGCAGGAATCTTACAATTTTATATCTACATAACAACTGTCTCACAGAAATTAAATATCTCGACCATGCAATTAATCTTACACATTTATATTTGCAAAACAATAAAATATCAAAAATAGAAAATTTAGAAAAATTAACGAATTTATGTAAATTGTAAGTATAAACAATGAATGTAGTAGTATTTATGTTTTCAAACATTTCAATTTTTGATGATACGTCTTTTAACATGGTAGATATTGAGTGCACTTGTGAATCATCTCAACCTTTTTTGTAAATTTCCAATAATTTAATGCAATGCCTCTGTGCACAGAAAACAATTTGAAACAATATATCAGCAACCAAAATGAAATGTTTCAGGTACCTAGGTTTCAATGAAATATCCGTCGTGGAAGGCCTAGAAGCCCAAGAAAATTTGGAGGAACTTCATCTTGAGAAACAGCGACTTGCAGAAGGAGAGGAACTGCACTTCGATCCTCGGTCAATGGATACTCTAGCTGTAAGTGTCGCAAATGCGCAGAACTAACAGTGCCAGAAAGTTATTTCGAAAGTTTTACTATTTCGAGAGAAATCAACGGAAACGTGTATCTATATCTGATGAAAAGAAAATGTAGCAAGTTCTTTATAATTTTTAATTTCTATTGGCTTGATAACACTTACTGAAGTTTTGTTCAGTTTCTCTTCATAAACAGAGCAAATGTTGAACTGGTTCTTGTTTTCCTTTTGGTCAAAACATCTGACATAACCTTACTAGTTTTTGTCATATATTGTTTTCGCTACAATGAATACACTTTTAAAAAATATGAACATTAAATATTGGAAAATAAAATGAAGCTAAAGGAAGTTTTCATTTTAGTACATACTATTTGTTACTGAGTGAGAAACTTCACTGGAGTTAAATTAAAATTTTTACATTCATTAAATAATAAAATGTATCCGTAATATAGGGATTAAACGAGGCCCTTGTGCCTTCATCTTCTTTTTCATTGACATTTTCTTTGTTGTAGGAAATTTTCATGTTTTTGTGCTCTACAATTAAAAAAGTATGTTACGTCACTCAAGGTTAGAGGAAAATATTTTTTTTTCCTTCGCCAGTAGTCTCAAAACTATCCTGCTATCCCGAGGGTCATCGTGGATGAATTCGAAAAACTCCACATTTGTAATACTTTTTGGAACTAGGAACTTTTATGGCAAGAAGTTTTAACTTCATATTAAATCCAGTTCCGCTGCGTCTTTGAGGGTTGCCAGGTTTTGGGATTAGGGATGCAACATCGATGTCAATATTTTCATTTATCGAATTTTTAATATGGAGTTTATACACCTCGAAGCGTTACAACAATCGATATCACTATCGATCTTATGCGCAGTTTCAGTTTCGCAACACTTTTGTGCATTACGCATGCGCAGAAGATCGATAGTGCTGTCGTTTGCTGCCCGACAAGGCGTGCAAAATGTCCGCAATAAGGGGGTTTTGTCCTTAATAAGGAGTTTTTAGACTTAAGCGTTAAAGCAAGACTTAGATTTAGATTTATTCAGTCAAAAAACAGTAAAAACTGTAAGTGACGTAGGGGGAAAAAGACTTAAGCTTTAAAGCAAATTTCCTACTGAAACATCAGTTTTTTAAACATTGCGATGTTTTTAACAATAATGTTTTGTGTGCGATGTTTTACATTTTCTATATTTTTTTTGTGAATGAAAAATTTCCGTACTCACATTTTTTTCCCCGGTTGTATAAAAGTTAAAATATATCTGGTGGTACCGTTGTCAGTTTGTGTGTATGTGGCAAGTCCGAATAGCTAGTCGAGAGCAAAGGTAATAGAAAACTAATACTGGAAAGTCTGTGCCATTCCGTAGCACCACTAGTTTTAATTTTGTTTTCTGTTACCACTACATTATAAATTAATAAAAACGGCCACTGTAAAGTTGAATTTTATTGCGCTCGAAAGTGATTCAACCATCATTAAAACATCGATGCCTCTTTTTTGTTAGTTTTGATGGTTTAATTTTCAACTTCTATGTTTAGTAACATAGCTGTTTTGTTATCGATATCACATCATTAGTTGGGATGGCCGCTGGCCGCGTTACGGGAAATGGGCAGGATTTGCGCGGTGATGGCTCTGCCACGTCCCTGCCCCCGGCATGCAGTGAGTCCCAAGTGAGAGTTGCGTCTTCCTCGCTGTTGACGTTGACGAAGCTTCAGAATAAGATGGAGTGAAATCTATATTGAAGACGGAGCTGGCAACCAGGCCTAATTCTTAAAGTGGAAAAGAATTAAGTTTTAACTTGTAACTCAGTATTAAGTGCCCTGGGCTCTAAACGTAATACATCAAGTTTAAAGAAAAGAATAACTTGTGATTGTGAGAGTTTTGTTCAAATTTTTCGTAGTTTTAAGTACCTTGACGAACGCTTCACCTGGTGTTGGGGTGGCGCAGGGGTGCCTGCGCGTGCTGGACGTGTCGGGCGACGGGCTGCGCACGCTGGCCGGGGCGAAGCAGCTGCGCGCGCTGGTGCGGTTGCGCGCGGCGGGCAACCCTCTGCAGGCGAGCGAGGCCCTGGCGGCGACCTTGGACGCGGGGGCGTGGCCCTGCCTGCGCGAGCTGGACGTGCGCGGCAGCCCCGCGTCGCGCGAGCGCCGCCACCGCAGGCTGGTCGTCGCCGCCGCGCCCGTCTCCCTCCGTAAGCTCCGGCGCGAATGCTGCCCTGCGGTCGTTCACAGGATTGTCCTGACGCGTCACTGCTATTGGTCTCGGACGTATTGTGCACTTCTTTTTCGGGAGATGGCGGAGTCCACCACCGCTAGAACGGGAGTGCAGCGCCGTCCTATGTTGAGTTGTGGGGTTTCCTTAGTCTAGGTATCGCCACCCAGCGGGGCACCGCCCCAGCCGGGACATGCTGTAAACGCCCAACTGATCGCTCGAAATGTGGATAGTGTAGCGCATGTAAGTGTGTGTGTGTGTGTGTGTGTGTGTGTGTAATAAGTGGGGCCAAGGATAAGGAACGAAAGATCACGTGCGATTCGAGGCTAGTATGTTACAGTAACCGTTTTGTCAAGCAGAGACATTCCTATCAACAGGAGCAGCCTACACGCTGATGGTTTACTCGTATAAGGAGAGAGTGTATACAGACGAAGTGTGAGCATTGTCGGGCAAGAGCGGCTCTAGTGTAGTGAACGGCGAGACGCACACGGGCCGCTATGACGAGCAACCACCAGTAGTCTCGGTCCAGTTCTCGCATTTGAGAAGAGCTGACCTACATATCTGAGCCTTCTGACGAATAGGTTGTTTTTTTCTGGAGAATGTAATGCAAAGGACGAGGCCAAGGAAATCGTTTACTTTCTTGTGCGCTCAGGTCTAATGATCACTGTAAACTATTCTTACCCCCGATATTAATTAAATTCAATGAACAACAAAGTAACCAGGTAGATATTTGTATTGATATATGTTTCGTTTCTCAAGGAGCTCAGCATTTAAATAACTAAACTGGGGGGGGGGACTCCCAGGTATTCACTCTTGAAGATGGGAACCCTACACATATGGAACTAATGACCTAAGCAGTTGACGCGTCCGGAATCACTAATCAATCAACCTGAAATAAAAAGCTATTGAAGAAAAAGCTGCGAAATTAACTAACTAAACCGACTGAATATTGTGCAGATATGCTCGATGGTCGTGAAGTAGCTGAGGTGCAGCGCAATTTTTTGCGCGGCATGCAGAGTTGCCATCGTCGCGCGTCGGAAACTGCTTTGCCGACTGCCGTCGACCCCGAGCCCCTGCTGCATGCCCTCGCTCCCGAAGTCGGCGGTAAGTGCGCTGCAACAGTGGAGCTAGATTCTTTCCATTTGAGGCATTGCGTTCGCAGGCACAACCGTCGAAAAAAATGTATTCGTTATATTCAGAGATATAACCACGGTTGTGAAATACGTATTCGTTGTTTGGCACAAAATTAGACAAATACTGTTTATTCTTTGTTAGACTTTACACGATAACCTTTTATTATTTGCAAATTTGATAATTAATGAAGATTATTTGAAAACAAGTAAATCATAATAAACTTTCTTTCTGAATACACCCTTCAAGAAAAAAGTTATTTGTGATACGACTGGTAAAAGTGACATATCATTTGGCGAGTAGGTTACGTTGCGAGTCGAGGCCGATTGGCACTATGCTACGAGTAAAATAAAGCCACTTTTACCACGTGTGCCATGCACTATTTTTAGATAGCCTCGTTGCCCTATTATTTTGAGTATACAAATCACTTAATTGTGTACCGTGAGTAATTGAGAATAGTTGTGACTGATCAGGCGAAAGTATTTTGTTTTTATGTATTTATTATGTATATTTGTATTTATGCAGTTTTATCTGAGCATTTGAGCTCCATCTCCCTTTTAGCACCTGTGTTCAAAATTGAACTTTTATTTTATGCTGTGCATGCCCTAAAAGTAACCGCTTTCTCTATGTATGTCTACAAATATATTTGCGAATATTATGTCTTAACATGACCCGTTCACGAATCCACTCCTGATGCTGCGGGATCGGAGAACAAAAGCTCAGAAGCGCAGACGGGCACTAGCGGGAACGCCGTGTGCGCTGCCGATGCTTGGCCGCGTGAGCGCCCGCGAGCGCCCTTGGGCTGTTGCAGAGATGGCGCTGCGGCTGCCGCCGGCGGTGCGGCGCGCCGTGTCGCGGACGCTGCTGGAGGAGACGGCAGCCGCCGCGTCCGCCTTCGGCTTCGGGGCGGGGGCCGGCGGCGGCGGCGGTGGGGGCGGAGGCGCCAGCAGTTTGGCGCTGCCCCTACCCAGCGCCCCCCTGCACCCCACCTTCCCCGCGTGGCGACAACCACGTGAGTCCCTGCGCGCCCGCGACCCCTTCGGATACCTAGATACCTTCCAGCCGCACTACACGTGAAATTTCGTGTGTATGTGAAACAGAGTTTACAAATTCTGCTTAAGCGTACGCAGATTTCAGAAATAGACGTAATGCCGCACTTGGCGTGAGGATTCACTGCAGTCCCTCTGACTGGGGAGGTCCAAGGTTCGAGTCCTGACGATGGCAAAATTTTCGACACTAGCTTGTCGCTAGATCGAATTCAGTCGCTGTCTGGAGGAGAAGTCTGACAACCGGGTGCTTTGATTTGTGGTTTCTCAGATCAATACCAGGCGAATACCGGAGCAGTACCCTAACAAATGGCTCACGGACCATGCGCGAACTTTCCTACCTCCTCCATGTCCTATCCTCGCCCCTTATACTCACTTACACTAAATGCACTACTCTACTACACATGCCGGGAGACCGGTCGGGAGCTTAGAGCTTGTCCCGGTTGGGGCGGTGCCCCGTTGGTGGGAGATACCTGATTGGGGAAACTACCGCTAGCCGACGGTAGGTCGGCGCCGCATCTCGCCAGCGTGCCAGACCACCGCCATCTCCCGAGCGAAAAACATGCACTTCGCTTACGGAATTAATGACCCTGGTTAGTTGGCGCGCCCGGCATCACTAGCGATCAATCAATGTGAGGATTCTATTGTCAGCCTTTATTCCCAATTTCAAGGGAAGGTGGAATACTAATTTGCTTTTACTCGAATGTGAAATCGCATTTAATTTTCTTAGGTTGTGAAATTTCCCTGTGCCTGCATCGCCGACCTCTCCCTGCTTGCTTTTTCAAAGAAAAACGAAATATTTTCACGAAAATATTTGAAATATCGAGAAACTTCGTATGGTCATTTGCCGGATTTCTATTCAGAAATGCATTTAATTATAAAATACATTTGTAATATTAGTATTGATATGCAAGATGTTAGAAAAAACTTCTATAGGTGTAATGTTTAAAATCCAAAAGGTTTAATCAAATATGGTTAACGTCATGTAATTTAATACATTGTGCATTACGCGTTGGACAGATGTGTAGATGAATCAACAGACGACGGGCAGATGAGACAACAGATGGATAGTCACCAGTCATAAAAAAAACCCTTTCGCTAAACTTCGAACACCAGAAAGAAAAATAATAATATATTTTTCTTCTCCTATAGAGGGGATAGCCCCCTCTATCTAGTCACCTACAGACGTTATTTTCCCACACTTCACTCAATAGTCAAGATCTTTGCTACGCAGTGTTGGGGATTGACGAATTGTCTCTGCTGGCAGAAACGCCGCTGGTCATGGAAGGCGGCGGTGATGGCGTGTGCGGCCTGGGCGACGGCAGCGTGGGCGTGGTGGGCTTGGCCGGGCCCAAAGGCAGGGTGCGTGCCAAGGTTCCCCGCCCCTTCTGGCGACACAGAGCGGCCACGGGCCCCCGCAACCCTCCGAGCCGGACCTCGTCTACTTGCCCGCTGCGCCTGCCCGAACTGTAGAGCAGACCAGCTTCCATAACTGTACTCTTCTACCTGTAATAAATCCATGTGTACATACGGAGATGATCTATTTCATCCGTAACTTTTTACTAGACTAGAAATGTTGAGACATCTCCTTTCGGATCCGATATCTATGATTCAGTAACGTATCGAAGAAAACATTGTCACCAATCAAGCATTCCTGGTTCCAACCAGAATTCATAGTCCTCATTTAAGCTGACCCTCAAAATTGTTACGATTTTTAAACGTGTTAATTCGTTGAAAAAGTACAGGAATTGAAATTTGTAATTTTTAAACGTAATGATTTAAAATTTGTGGAAAATAACTATAAATAATAAGTCTTTCAATCATTAGGAATATCTTTAATGGATAGCAACCAAGCAACTTACTATCTACATGAAATGTTCGTTTACACCGCGCGAGCGAACGCTTCCTTCGTTCGTTGGAAACGGAACATCCGAGCGAATCGTGACGTTCGGACTTAATCGGTTGGCGGAAGCGAGCGAACGTTCGCTCGGTATGTTCGTACTGTGTAAACAAATGCAGGCGCCGAGCGAACACATACGCTCGGAGCTGAGAGGTTCGAGACGCGGTCGAACATTTTCATTCCTACCTGCGAACACGTTGGCGAATGGCGCTAATTTCAACACTCTTGTGAGCATGCAGGCAAGTTGCGTAGTTTGTAGTTTGCATAGGAAAGTATGGAACTTTTAAATAAGTTTAAAGGTAGGAAAATTGAAGATATGCTACAAAATATATATGTATTTATTTTAATGTATATTTTTAAAATTTGTTTCAATATTACAAATCAACAATGTGGACGTCAGAAACAATTCATTAGTAAATCACAATTTAATAATAATGCACCTTAATAATATTGATTAAGCTGTGGCTTAAATAATGAAGTTTTTATAATTGTTTTTGTTAAGAATGTTATTTTATTGTGTTATTTTAATTGTATTAACCCTCAGACATTTCTGCTAAATACCATAATTTTTACATGAATTAACACGTTTTGAACATAATTTATTGAAATACAATTAAACCATCACACATTTATAACAATTTTAATTTTTTTAGCCGACCTGGATGGCCGAGGTGGCTAAACCGACTGAAGGCTTTGGTCCTAATGGTCACGGGTTTGAGTTCTGCCTTGGGCATGGTTGTTTGTCCCTTGTCTATCACAGGCATGTGTTGTCGCGGAGGGTCTCGTATTCTGCTGACCTAAGATAAGAGGAGTCCGCAAGTGTGATGATGTCTTGTGTATGGTCGAATATGCGTCCCATCGGGACGTGAAGTGCAACGGACTTCCGGCTGGATGGACGCCCTAGGGTAAAAATCTTTAATTTCGATGCCTTGACAAATGAATTACATTTAAAAGATCACAATTTTATCCATTCGTTAACTATATTAGTTTAACCAAAAAATAAAGATTTTGTTATAAAATAAATAAATTAATTAAATAAGAAAAAAAAGTTTGCATCGTGAATGAGGACTTAGTCTATTCTGCTCCGCCGAACGCCGAAACGCCATCCGCCAAACGAAAGAGCCTTCGTTCATAACCGCTTCGTTCTTCACTCGCTGGTGCAGTGTAGATATCCTCTACATGCCTACGGCATCTATCGTCTGCCACTTGCCATCTATCTATAGAGATGTCCAGAACAGGTGACTTTTAGAGCGCCTCGGAGAAGCATCGTCGCCTCTGGATGGCAAGTGGCAGATTACACAGGCTGCGACGATTTGCCGCTTTTGATGGAAATGGATGATTATGAATCTTGATTACATATATTCACCTTGATTACATATATAATTTTAGTATTTTCTATCAGGTACAGTTTTTCCAAAATTTTCTGTTTTTCGTATTTCAAATTAGCAAGCGCTATGCATAAAAATTTGTTTCAATATTACAAATCAACATTGTGGACGTTGTGGTGAACATTGTGGACAGAGACAATTCGTTAGTAAATCACAATTTAATAATAACGCACCTTAATAATGTTGATAAAGATGTGGCTTAAATAATGAAGTTTTTATATTTGTGTTTGTTAAGAATGTTATTTTATTGTGCCATTTTCATTGTATTAACTCTCAGACATATCTGCTGAATTTCATAATTTTTACATAAACGTTTTACGTAAACCCAAATTTACGTAAATTTACGCAAGGCTGCGACATTTCATTGCGTTTGATTAAAAGCTTAAAAAAGCCTAAACCCAGTTTTAGTAAATTATGAACATTTTATCGCAAAACTGAGAACCTGACATTGTAGCCAGACGATCTGCTCGTTAGTTTCGATGTAGTGTCATTATTCACCATGGTACTGGTTACTGAGACATTAGCTTTGCTGCGGGGGTTATCCCCGGAGGACATCCCATAACTCTTCCGTCACATGTTAACCACAACATCTTTTGTACGGGACGGTGAATTTTACAACCAGGATGATGGAGTAGCTATGGGAAACCCCTTGAGTCCGGTTGTAGCCAATTTATATATGGAGAGCTTCAAGGCCACAGCGCAAAACACTGCGCCGCTGTTGGTTGCGGTACGTCGATTATTCGATAACTTTCGTCATTTGGAGCCAATGGGAGGAAACGCTGAAAGATTTTCTTAGACATTTACAATTGAGAAGGAAGATAATGGAAAAATACCCTTTCTGGACGTACTTGTAAACAAGAAGGAAGACGGATGCCTCGGCCACACAGTATTCCAAAAACCCACCCACACGGACAGTTATCTTAACAAACTGTAGAACCACCACCCCAACCAGAACACACACTCGTCCACCGCGCTTGACAGGTATGCGAAGATAACAACATTCACCAATAACTTGGTCATCAGGAATATGCTCTTCAAGCTAATGAATATTTAATCCAAGAGGTAGAGAGAGCAATACGTCCTAACAAAACCGCACACATACATCCCGAAGAAATAACTCACAAGGTTTTGCCTTGTGATTCAGTAAGATTTATTCAGTAAAAAAGAAAAACAGTAAAAAATGTATGTGACGTGGAGGGGAAAGATTATCTGCATACGTTTTTTTAAGTTCCAGAATCCCTTCCCGTCATTTTTGAAAGATGAGTAAAAGCTTAAGATTAATAAATAAAAATATAATTTAAAAATCTCAAGATTAGCAATATTAGAAAAATAATCGTTTTCGTTTCTGAGAACGTTGTAGAAAACGTATTAACGCTCCCATAGAAAAGCTACATTTACGTCCAGAAGCAAAACAAGGCGCTCTCTTGGCATTAGCTCAATGGAACAGGGAAAATGGACCAAAACCTGATTGAGATGGGGAGATATAAAGATATATAGAGAAAGTTATGAAAAACTGCTTGAAAACGGCTGATTTTCGACCGAAAAAATAATCGCTGAGCTCTTATAAGGAAAACAAACATAAATTCAGCTTCTTAGTTACGGTAAAAATCCACTATTGCGTGGTGTGTTGCGGGACTTCTGCGTAATAGCGAAAAATCGATTAACTGCAAAATATCCGTACCTCCGTCCGTTTGATGTAGGTGAAATACACTAGCGCCCCAACTAGGCGTAAGATTTCGAACAAAGGCGTATATTTTCACTCAGAATCTAAATTTCGAACATTACAGAAAATTGAAATTTTTTTTCGTCGTCACAACCAAAATTGGAGATCAATATTTTTTTTCAATTGAATTTGCTTCACATTTCTTCAAATATTAAATGAAAATCATTGTTTGATACTTAAGAAAGTTTCAATTTCTGCCCAATTTTGACAGATATATGGCAATATTAAAAATATAAAAAAACCTCTTCTCAAAATGGTTTCAATTTTTACTATTCTCGCACTACTAAGGCAAAATGTGTATACTATGCACCGGAAAAGCCATCCAGCACGAGAAAGTCACCAGCAAATTGTCTCATACAAAAAATCTTATTCCAGCACGCAAGAATAAAGAGATATCAGTTTCTAATTTAGCGAAAAAAAATTCTGGTGAGCCAGATTCCAGTTTTGCCCACTTGATACGAACATGGTGTGCTACAGATTGGCACAACTTAACTTTATTTATTTAAATTCGGATCTCAAATAAAAATATTTTAATCGTTATCAGTCTATATACATTTTACGTTGTTTAGCGAGGTTGTGTGAAAATAATTAGGTTTATTTAAGAGCAATGATAACGCTTGTTGACCATCTCAATACACCTGCTCCAAGAGCGCGGACTAAAGCCGCAAGGGAGTAACACGCAACGCCGAGACCGTAGAGCAGGCGAACAATGGAGACCAGAGGGCAGAAACTCTCCGCGAGAAACACCATGACTGGGACGGAGGCATCAGCCGGCGACGATGAGATTTGTGTGCCCGACCATAGCGGTCAACAGTGCGACTGGCAGATGCAGTGGAGAGCCAAGCGGGGGGCATGGAAGCGGCAGCTCTGGCAGTTTCTGAGGCATGCACTTCTTGGCTTCGAAGAAGTGGAAGTCCGCGATGCGGTCTGGAAGTATTGATCCATGGGAAATCGCCTCTCTCTGACTCGCGCGACGGCAGCCACGAGAAGCTCATTGCTGGCGAATACGACCGTCTCTACCCACGTCCATTAGGTTCCCACACGTGGTGGCATGCCTGGAGCAACGACTATATTATCCACCAACGACTTCTGATCAAAGACCTCTACGAGCTCTTTCTTTCCAGCAAGATAGTCGCGCTAAAAGAACGCAACACTCGAGTCGTGCCAAATACCTATGATTATGAAGAATCTGTTGCGATAGCTGATGATTACCGGTATTCCTCCAAGCATTTGCTCATTCTCCAACTTGGAATGGAATGCATACCCCAGTTCCCAAAGATGGAACAGCCATTTACATGCATACAATATGACAAGAGAAGGATGACAAAATACAACAGATTTGAAGGATAACACTCAGAAACTGAAACGAACACTAAGTCTACCAGACTTGCGTAAACTGTCAATTATGACAATATTTTGCCAAGTGGGCCTCTGGATATAGCTGACGCAACAAGTTTCCGCGCGCGCTCCTTGCAGAGCGTGCCGCGGATGAAAACCCCGCCCAGTTTGTTCAAAAACCCTGTA